AAATTCAAGAGCCCACCGATGTGGGACAAATTTGCCAAACTTCAACACAGCTAACTAAATTGGTGCAATTTGCTAAAAACAATGGCTCAATCCTTGTTTATGATTCTGCATATGCAATGTATATATGTGACGACAGTCCAAAGTCCATCTTTGAGATTCCTGGAGCCAAAGAGGTAAGTCAGGATCATTTTATTTGGTCAACATTAAGCTTTATGTTGTTTTCTTGTGAAAGCTTCTGCTATCGTTTGTTCAGACCCTGTAGCATGTAATGCTGTAGATGACTAAAACTCATAATGTCTGCATATCACTTCGTTCTGTTGTTCTTTTTAATCCCAGAACAATCTTCAGCTAGTTAGGGTCAGCATATGCATTCTCACTATTGATTTCGCTCTATTTGGACCTATTTCATTCTAGTATTCAGTATTTTCATATTGATTAGTTGTATCAATCTTTTGCATTATGGTGGCTAAACTTGCGATACCTATACCCCTACTAATCCTAAAATTCGTATTCTCTAGAGTGCTCTCCATAGTTCAAACTTTCTGTTAACAACACCCTCACTAATTTCTCAATTAACTCAATATCATTTGCAAATAACATACTAGGAGATCCAAAATAGTGTTAGGGCTATACGCTTCTAGTCCTTGCATGTCTATTTTCCTCTTTAGTGAACTGATTAAAAATGGAACACAATTTGAAAATTCTCCATCTTGGCTTGCTTCAGAAAGGATAGAAAAGATAGTGATAAATTAGAATGCCATAGCAAATAGCCAAGACCTCATCCTGCATACTATTGGTTAGCTCATCCATAATGCGGATAAGCAAGTACAGGCTCAATTCAGATCTTCATGGTTATGGAAAACTCTTTTGTATCTCCTACCACTATTCTCACACTTGTGGGGCTTTTTCGTACATATCCTCCATGACATTTTTTGTATTTTATATAGATTTCTTTTCTTCTCCTACATTCTCTTTCTAATTTTTACTGTGGAAAAAATGACATGAGCAGACTGTTCAATTGAGACTTTTAGCTGGTTTATTATATCATCCATGCAATTTGTTGGGACCTTTCCTTCTAATTCATCTTCTTGTCCTTCTCCTTCGTTTATCTTTTGCCGTAGTTGAACCTCATCAAACTAGTTTGTGAGTGATCTTCCAAGTCATCTTCTTCCCCTGTTCTTCAATGGCACTCTGTAGTAAGGTTATCTCAAGTCTATTCAATAAGTGCTTTTTATCCCCTGGTTAATTGCAGGGACTTTCTTCTGATCCTTCTTGCTTCCTCACATGTCTTTTTCTAGAAGTTACAGAGCTTCTTATAGAGTTGTCATATTTTCAGTTGACTTTTTTGTGCTGCATTTTCTCCTTACGTCTGGTGTACAGTGTTTATTGCATGATTCTCTACATTAATAAGTGGATTGTTTCTAAGCGATGCAAGAAGCATGATGTACTGGACTTGCAGGTTGCCATTGAGGTTTCATCGTTTTCGAAGTATGCTGGTTTCACTGGAGTTCGTTTAGGTTGGACTGCAATTCCCAAAGCACTCCTATATTCTGATGGATTTCCTGTAGCAAAAGACTTCAATCGCATTGTTTGTACTAGCTTCAATGGTGCATCCAATATCGCTCAAGCTGGCGGTCTGGCTTGCCTTTCACCTGATGGTTTCAAGGTCAGTTTCATCATTTGCTCGTCTCCCTATTCGCGTAATCATAATAACATTATTTACTAGGCTCAAGGTCTCTACTTGAACATGTTGACTTTGCGTCACAGGCCATGAAGGATGTGGTTAGTTTCTATAAAGAAAACACAGAGNCAAGCTGGCGGCCTGGCTTGCCTTTCACCTGATGGTTTCAAGGTCAGTTTCAACATTTGGTTGTCGTCTCCCTGTTCACTTAATAAAAAAATAACATCATTTAATAGGCTCAAGGTCTCAACTTGAACATGCTGACTTTTGCATTTCAGGCCATGAAGGACGTGGTTAGTTTCTATAAAGAAAACACAGAAATCATAATGGAGACATTTAAGTCACTAGGTTACAAGGTGTATGGAGGTAAAAATGCACCCTACGTGTGGGTTCACTTCCCTGGACGAAGCTCATGGGAGGTTTTCAGCGAGATACTTGAGAAGACTCATGTCGTTACCACACCAGGCAGTGGTTTTGGACCTGGTGGTGAAGGTTTTGTCAGAGTAAGTGCATTTGGGCACAGGGAGAACGTCGTAGAAGCTTGCAGAAGATTCAAGGAATTGTACAAGTGAAGTAACTCGTATGCCTGGATGTCCATGTGAAAACATGCAGGTAAATGGGAAACACTTTTGGCCTTGAGAGGCTTCATTCAGATGCTGTATCTTGAATGCTCAAACATTTTGATCATGTATGGAATTTGTTGCTTTGGAAGAATAAGCTTATTCTGTGATTGCCAGTGATTGGTTCCTCTTTGTTATCTCTTGTCAAGATTAGATTCATATACACATAATGGACACGGATGATGAATTTAAAGGGAAGGAATAGTTGAAACAAAATAACAGGTTTTCACGTGTTGAAAGTGATAATGTTTGAGCAAACATCATGCTTCCGGAGCAAAGTACGAACGTTAAGGTACAAACCACCAATAGCATGAATTGCCAGCTTTTAATATTAGATTTCTGAATGCCTTAAAATTTCAACTATTCTGTCATTTTCTTAAAATTTCTGTTGAAAGAAAGGGAAAAACAACATTCTTTCCATTTTACTGTTAGCCCAATATCAGTATCCTGTCTAGATTACCCATAGCTTTCAAACATGTAACTCTTTTTCCCGACGTTAATTGTATTAGCACGACAAATGAGTTTGAATATCACTATTTTGAACCCATTTAACTGAACTAAATCATCAAATAAGGGAAGGTTGAAAATAATAGTGAGAATAAAACAGAATTAGTAATCAAAGCTTTTGTTTAGGAAAAGCAAATAAATAGAAGTAGGTGTAGAAAAAGAAAGATGTAAGAAGTCATTTTATGTTAAGGACGCCAAAATAAATGGGGTTTTGACACAGTTACCCACAAAAACAAAACTATTTATCCTTGTCTACCCATTTATTTTCCTACCCATAAACTAATTACATTTCCTACCCATAGTAGGTTTTGTGGGGAATTTTTTCTTTATTCTCCAATTCTTTTTTATTTCTATGCTTCTTTTCTTTTCTTTTTTCTCGTTTTCTTCTTTATTTTTTTATTTTTTCCTTTTCTAATTTCATTTAACTTCTTTTTTTATATTCTTTTTCTCTTCATAATCTAGTTTCATTTATTGTTTTCACTGTTTTTTATTATTCTTTTTTTTATATTATTACTAAAGAAACAATCAAATTGTGTACTAATTAAATTAAATGTAGCTACTACAACCAAAAAAATATTAACTAACATATGATACCGGTATAGTATATAGCTATACCAATAGGGTATACAATTTGTATGCAAAGAGTTAAAAAAAAATTAATTCAATTATTAAATTGAAATAATATCAGTTATCAATAAAAATTTCAAAAAATTCTAAAAGGATCTAATTGTAAGAGTATATCGTTACATTATATAGCATACTATAATTTTTTTTTTTTTTTTGCATTTTCAGTTTGCCCCTCAGGCTGGGTAAAAACTTAAAGCAAATTAAAAGGGAAAAGACAAGTGAGTTTACGGGTAATAAGTATACTATTATAGTATATTGTATACTATTACAACATATTGTTACAATATCTTGCATATTATTACAATATACCATAACAATATATTGTATACTATAATAATATATTGTTGCAGTATAATTATATACTCCTATAGTATATTAGTAAACTGTAGCGGTATACTCTTAGGTAGCTGTATTCTTCTTTGATTATTACAATATACCGTTGCAGTATATAGTATACTGTTTCAGTATAGCTATATACTCCTACAGCATATTGTATACCGTGGCGGTATACTGTATCTGTGTTCTTCTTCAATTTTTTTTTTAAGATTTCGATCTCAATCACCTCAAATCAGCTCCAAATGATATCAAATTTCAGTATGAACTTCTAGAAGGTATTATAAGCAATATTTAACAACACTCACTTTGAATCAAACAAGAAATCTTCAAAAATAAAATTGAGCTTCAAGCCCAACAATGGTGGATATTCAAATACACATAAAATTTAGATCTGGAAAGTTTATTCGAAGATACTATAAGCAATATTTTATAGCAGCACATCAAATCAAATAATAAATCTTCAAAATAATAGCACCACTTCAACAAAGCAATCATGAAAGAAGAGGTGAATGGTGGCAGGGCCAGAGGCAGGGGCATCTTTGAACATCTGAGAGATTACTGAGCCAACGAAAATTTCAACTTTAGGACAAATCTTGGCATAATAGTTACCGGTGAGTTGTCGAGGCTGTCGTCGGAGGGTATTGATGGATGGGGAGTTGAGCAAAGAATTGGAGGAAGGTAAAGTGAGGAAGAAGAAGAAGAGGAACATAATAAAGGCGGGTAAATAGGTTGGGGCGTATGGGTAGGAGTAGTAAATAGTTTGGACTTGGACATTAAAGAGTAAATAGTTTGGAATTAATGGGTATAAAGTGAGATTTTTTCAAAATAAATATAAACTATAATAATGTAAGAAGCCATTTTATGTTAATGACAACAAAATAAACATAAAATAAAAATATATATTGCCCCCACGCAGGATCGAACTACGGACCTTCAGTTTACAAGACTGACGCTCTACCACTGAGCTACAGGGGCTTTGCGTCTGAACCTGCAAATTTAAATAATACAAACAAAACTAAATCCTCTTTTTTTTTTTTTTTTATTAAAGTATACAAACTGCAAAAAAAATTGACAAACTTCTTACTTGTCTAATTGAACCCTTCTTCCTGAAAAGTGAAAACCATGCTCTAAAACGACATTTCTTGTTATTTTATTAAACTTTAAAAATTATGAGAGTTACTTAAATTAGTGGTAGACCACCATAAAATTCGACTTATTCCTAATCATAATTTATAAGAAAACTCGGAGGAGCAGCTACTTCAAATTAGTGGTCCCACTTAATTGAACGAATGGTGGTCTATCAAATTCCTTCCTTGGCAACAACCACCATAAACTACAATGAATATATTTAGAAAAAACTTTGATGATGCCACAAAAGTAGAATTGAAAGAGAAACAAAGGGGTCAAAGTTTTAATAAATAAATTTGGATTTTTTTGGCCATAGAGATAGAAGATAGTGATAGAGAGTATCCAAACTCACCCATATCTAGCCAATCTCATTCAAGCACTATATTTCCTTTGATGACTTCTTTCTTTCACTCTCACTCATTTCTTATCTCATCCCCCCTCTCTTTCCCCCCCTACCCTATCCCCTTCACCCCCTCTCTCCATATTCTTATATCTTAACTAAAATGTACCACATTTTTTTTCAAGAATTCACTTCTTCCTTGAAAGTTGAAACTATCTCAATTCACTCTCAAGAAAATGGCAACTAATTCTTTCAAGTCCATTCATCACCACCATACATTAAGGAGAAGGCATTCTATTGATTGCCCTTTTTCTTCCTCTTCCTTTTTCCTCAAACCAATTACCAAAAACCCCTNTTCAAGAATCTGACCTCAAAGAAATTGATTCCCTTTGGAGAAAATACAGTGACAACAAATTTGGATACAGTGTTCAGAAAAAAATATGGAACAAAGTGAACAGAGATTTCACTAGTTTTTTTATTAAAGTTGGTTGGATGAAGAAACTAGAAAGCAGTGAAGTAGACCAGTATAATTACAGGGCATTTCCAAATGAATTTATTTGGGAATTAAATGAGGAAACCCCAGAAGGACATTTGCCACTAACAAATGCACTAAGAGGAACTCAACTATTGAGTAGCATTTTTACTCATCCTGCTTTTGTTGAAGAAGGAGAAGAAGAGAAAGAAGAGGAAAAACAAGGAAGTATTTCTGGGGAAGATAAAGGAAGTGTAAAGAAAGGAGGATTATTGGGTGGTTTGAGGAGTAAATTATTTGGTAAACCAGATTACAGCTTTTGAATTTGAAATGTGATTTGACTCTATTTGTAAAAGTGATTACTATTAATCAGTACACAAAAAAGTAGTAACATTATGTGATAAAAAATGAATGAACTAGAGCCTTTTTCTTTAATGTGTTCTTATGAAAAATGCATAAGTTGGAGGTTCTTCTTCTAGTTTTTCATTTTCTATTTTTGGGGTTTAATGTGTTTGTATTACATGGTTCATTGACAGTGCTGATTGACTGAATATTCTTCATTGCCTTCTCATCTAATTTTGGCATTGTTATTTGTTACGGTTCCTTCGAACCCTTGAAACCCATAAAGTTATTTTTTTGTGACCTATAAGTCACGAGTTTGAACTGTGAAAGCAGCTATTAATACTTGTATTACACCCTTTGAAATGTGACCTTTCTCTACTTTGTGTGATTGCGCAATGTTTTACGCACTTTTGTTTAAAATATAGTAATTCATCTTTGAAATGGAAAAGACCTAACGAAATTGAAAGAATTTTGGCCTGTATGCACTTTTTAAAGATTATTTTTTCTCTGTTATAAGGCATGTAATATTACAACTAACAGCAAGGCTCGTTTAGGTTTTTTTGGTGATTGTTTTATGCAATGATTAAGAATGAAAACGAAAAATTATATAATGAATAGTAATATAAGAATTTTTATGTTTTGAATATAATACAGAGAATATTATGTAAGTATTGCCTATTCTTTCATTGTTAGTATATGCATTTTTATTTCATATTTTATTCTGCATTAAATAAAATATGAATTGCATCATAACATAATTCGGGTGTTATTTAATATGCTAACCGATACTGCATTAATTTTTCGGGAATAATGGTTGTGGAAATGTTTGGTGTGTAAAAATTTTCCGTCAAGATGGGGTGTGTCAAAGGAATTTCGGTATAAGGGGTCGTTTGGTAGGAGATATTAGATAAAATAATGCAAGCATTAGCTTTATGTATTGCTAATACTTTATTTGGTACATTTTTTCAACATGTGTATAATCATACTTGATATTATCCTATGTATAAGTAATGTATAGAAAATCATGGTATTAGTAATACCAAGGCTATTAATACATGCATTAGTATGGTTAAAGACAAAATTGTCCTTAAAGTCCCTTAAGGCTAGAGAATATGGAGGGCATTTTTGTAAACAATTATTTTTCTTACAAATTATGCAATGCATTATAATTTTAATACACCACACCAAACAATAGATAAAAATATTATCTGCATAACTAATGCTTGCATTACTAACACATGCATTACTAATACACCTTATTCCGCACTATTCTTATATACCCTACCAAACGACCCCTAAGTTTGAAAAGGAAAAGGAGGAGGGTTGAAGTATGTATCAAAGTATCAAACCTTTCTTATATAACGATGATTAGCACAAATAGTGGGAAAAAAATTATCTATACATTTTTTCTCTCTGCTGACATATATACTAAGATCACCTATGAATTTCATCCCCATAATTTTCTTTTGGTTTCCTACTCGATGTTCGGTATCTGCATTGGAGTCCGAATATATCCTGATTCGCGTCGTGTAGGGCCCCATTCAGGGGGGAAGTGCTCCCTACCAATAATTTTTCCATACTGAGGACTCGAATTCGAGACCTCTGATTAAGGAAAAAGTAGTTCATCCACTGCACAACACCTTTGGTGGTCATCCCAATAATTCTTGGTTACATGTTTTGGTGCAAAAAAGAAGATATAATTAGTAAAAAGGATTTTTACGAATTTGATGTCAATTTTTTTTAAAGTGAGTTTTACTAATTTAATTTCAAAATTAATTTTCTTAACAAATCTTGTAAACTTAGTCTTAGAGTATTGCATTTTCTAACTTAAGATTGTATATTTTAGTTATTCGTAGTCTGATATACTCTCCCTTGTATAAGTTCTATCGTTAATGAATGGTTTAGGATATTTGGTGAAGCGTTGTTGAAAAGCTTTTTTATTTATGATAAGTGGCAACTAGTATGTATTAAACAAAAATAAGAAATTCTATGATTACTCTGTTTAACAAAAAATAGCTTTGTACTATATGTTGACCCCTTTAGTTGGACAGTTACAGAACACCTATGGCACTACGACAAAGATAATAAATTAATCTGGCGACACTAGAAATTCGCACCCCTCTGTAATTTTCGCTTATTTATTCCATTAACTTGTCTTTTTTAGCTTTGAGGTGTTGGGAATAGTTCTTTGTTTGCTCATTGCTACAAAGATTCAACGACAAGTTTAAGTTAGTTACACTAACTTGTAACTTGTGACTTGTAACTTTATTTTTTTATCGTAACAAATAATTTATACACACAATGCTATAATTAAGTTATACTCCCTCCGGTCCACAATAAGTGATTTTTTGGTTATTTTCACACAAATTAAGAAATCTAACTTTTAACATTAATTAGCAATAAATCTCTTCACATAAACACTCCTAACACATCTCCAATACTATTTACTCCAAAGGCAATGTATGAAAAAAATTAATTAATTCATTCTTGAAACAATGTGCAGGTTGTGATTTTGTGTGCTCAAATTTGCAAGACCGTCGAGATCTAATTGAATTCATATCCTGAGCTTTTCCTTAATTAAAATAGAGTTGCTCTTAGGGTAGAAATGTACTATATAATCTCCGTATAAGTCAATTCCTAATAATATTTGCTTCATCGTGTTATTAGCTATTCATTTCAGCAGTACCAGTGCAGTGCATACCTTTCACCCTGCCTCCGGAGCCCCCTCCTTTAGAAGTTAGTATAGCCTCGACTACAAGATGACCTTAATTATGTGAACGACCCCTCTCTATGTGAACTTGGGTATATAATGGTAGTCTCACTTAATAGTGACCATTAATCTGGGCACCTTTTCAAAATCTTCTAATATAGGCACATTACCACTGAACTTGTGAAAAATTCACCAAAAGATACGTCATATAGATATGTCCTTTGCAGACAATCCCCTCCACTTTACAAATTAGCTCAAGTATTCTTTTATCTCTAGCCCAAACAACGGCTAATCAATTCACTTCAACATCTCACTACCAAGACAAATATGCGGTGAAGCTACTTGTAATTTGGGACTCGCATATCAATATTTTGACATCAGTAATGCTTTGTAATCAGCGGAGAATGAAGTAGATGCATAATACATACACCACTTACCACATTAAAAGTCAAAAATATCAAGAACCAAAGGATTAAACAACAAGCAGGACATAATTCCTTTTCACCACATAGCATTCTTCACTCAGTAGCGAGAAATGGGGATTAAACAATAGTGAGGTTCAGTATTAGGAAACTAGAAGATGCCAATTTCAGCGGATAAGAACCAACATATAGATAGAGCTTTCATACCGTCATTCCATAGACTACATGAAAAAATAAGCCAAAAAAAAAGACCTAGTGACTCCTATATCATTGTATTTTATGAAGGTGGTGTATGAAGGAAAAACCTGACAAATCTACCAAGCAAGTGGCGACGTAATCCACAAGGGCAGAAGCTACATAATCTTGCCCAAGTTTGAGAAGGATTCACTCTGACAGTTCACATATTTTACTAATTTATTTCTCTTCGCAGCTAGGAGCACACTAACACCAATTTCTTAGACAGGCAATAATACCGGATTGGAAAACTAACTCATATATCCACAATTCCATATGCAGACACCATATGACATGGTACATAAAAATAGGAACTAGAAGAGCAACAAATTTGTTCCATCACAACAGTCATCCTAATTAAGTGCAATTCCACCATATACCAAATCATTGACACGCACTATGATGACAAGAACTAATTGGTCACTTTTAGTTGGCACGTTTTGACTTTTTACGCACCTTCAGAAATAATAAATGAAATGCATAATTTATCATGATACCCATATTAATTAATGAATATTTTATTGGATTTGTGAAAATAATTTGAAATGAGTAATAAATATTGTGGGTATAAAAAGAAAAACAAATTGTATTCTCTTGATATGCGTAAAGTAAAAAGTAAAAATGAAAATCTTTTTTTAGTATACATGCCAAGTAAAATTGAACAAAGGGAGTATTTGGTATCCGTTGAGAACAAATCTAACATAGATGGGAATGTAAGGGTTATCAAGGCCCGGTGTCAAGGTGCACCCACTATAGAGGATTAGAAGTGCTTAGAAAATTGTATAAGCTGATGTATACATAAATGGCGATATTCAGAGTTGTAATTACTTAAGACCTATGAATCATACAACAAAACCCAAAGATAGAGTGTGCAAACTTAAGGCCACATAAGGGTGAAGGGGAAGAGTTGGATATATACCCATATACGAGGCAGATCTACAACATATGCTATATTTTCACGAAGAAACTTCACAAAGATTTGTAGGAGAGGAAAATTGATCTGGACAAATTTTCTTGATGTGTCAAAAATTTACTCAGTGAATTCTTGAGAAAAACAATGCATATCAAATATATAACTTCCAATGAAGTGCCCACAAGTGCGAGGGAAACAGTAAGAGATAAAAATAAGAGTTTCCCTCATTCCTGAGTTTAAACACAAGGATCAACTTTAATACCAGTTTATTCCAATTATGGATGAGCTATATACACAACAAGACAGCATCTTAACAAAGGATGAAGGTGGGCCAAAAAAATGGAGTAATGCTACGAGTTTCAAGGGTGAATTGGGTTCAAATTATTGGAAATAGCCTCTCCAACGATGCGGTAAGGCTGTCTACACTATGCCTTCCCAGCAGCTTGCCTGAGCGGGAGCCTGCACTCGGGTCTGACTTTGTACTTAACAAATGACAAAACTAAATGGAAGCAAAGCATCCATACAGATGATACCTAGTAATTGAAAAGTAGGACTTAATTGATGTTACTACACTTATGCTTTGTAATGACAGGACAGAATAGGATCTTGTTGACATTTAGAAAACTTGAAAGACAGATCATTTTGTGTTTGAAGGAAATGGGGCCAAAAGAATGAAATGAATTATGGATTCAAATAGAAATACAGCCAAAGACCAGCTAGTATAGGAGGGACACATGGTAGAAATAACCAAAAATGCATAACCAAACCACTAGCTTAAATTGTGATTACCAATAAGAGGCAGCAGTACTTGTAGAAAAGTATGCTGAATAATTCTTCTAAATTATAAAGCAGCTACCTGCTGAATGCATTAAGCTGCAACCCACTTATAAGCAGGATTAATGCTGACTTTATTTGGGCTAAGCACTACATAATCTAGTGAACGCTTCAGGCCTTAAAATAACAAGCTTCCTAACCAATTTAACCATTTCCAAGAAAACTCACGGAGTAATTCTTAGAACACAAGCAGCACATGTGCACTTACTTAGTATAACAATCCAGAAGCAACCACACATTATAAGAAAACAATCACATACAACATATATACATAAGAGCAATAAAATAGACACAACATGAAACCATCAGCGTAATTAAAAGCAGATCTAGTAATTTTTCATCAACAAAACAGTGCAAAGAAAAAAACAGACTAAATGTAGCTTAATAATAAAAACATTATCCATCCCTCCTTTAACACTACTAATATTACCATATTCATCAAAATTCAGTCAATCTTAATCATATGAGATCAAAATTACCAGCAGTGCAAGGACCAAAACAACCTTCCCTCAGAACCTAAGCTTAGTGAAGAACCAACGATTTTTTCCAGTCTTGAACCGCTCCTCGAGCCTAGCTTTCGCCTCCTTAGCAGCAGTAACCTTCTTGTCACGTGACTGCAGAACATCCACGTTGACAACATCCTTCAGATCCACGTCAAGCGTGTAACGAGTTGGCATGATGTGGTTGTAATTCACGAGCTTGATGAAAGTCTTGACACGTGACTTCTTCGCCTGCTTTTTGGCTGAGTCCTTTCGGATCACCTTCTTAGGGTACTTGGAAATACCTGCAACCAAACAATGGCCGTATGGCCTGTCCCTTGTTCCTTCATCAAATGCCCTAATGATCACTGCCTTACGGCCGGCATATTTGCCTTGAAGAATGATTACAGCTTTGTTTGGCTTCAAAAACTTCACCATCCTCGCCGCCGCGGATTCTCTCTCTCTCTCTATTCAATCTGTCTCGGCTGAATGCAAATGGAGTGTAAAACCCTAGTTTCTGCTTTATAAAGGAAGGGTGGCTTGCCTGAAAGTAAGAAGCCAAAGCCCTAGTTCTGAATGGGTTTCGGCCCAAGTGATTACTGTTGGGCCTTTAGCTTGATGAAATGGACCTTAATCTCAACCAAAAGGCTGCAAGGGGAAAAGTGCACCAGTAGCCACTTTTAAGCAAGCTATTTAGAATATAACCATAATTTATAATGTATTTAAAGATTAAGAAATTCGCCCAAACTTCAGGACTAAGTATCCTGAATTTTTGAGTTGCTAATTTGAAATTCAGTACTTAGTGTACTAAATTTTAAGTTGCTAATATGAAATTCAGGACTAAGTGTCATGAATTTTTGAACTGTCAATTTGAAATTCAGGACTAATAGCCTGTTTGGCCAAGCTTCTCCATGATCCAAAAGTATTTTTTTTAAAAAAAAAAAAACCTCAACTTGAGGTGTTTGGCCTAGGGCGGATTTATAGCTTAATTTATATGGCACGTGAAACCATGATCTTTCCGCCAAATTAGGTATTTTATGTACATATTTTCTAGAATTAATCTAATATTATCCGTTGGCACCCATACTCTACGTAAGCTAGATGGTGCACTTGGTTGAATGTTGAATTATTTACTCAGATGAGCAGGGATCAATTCCCACTTAATACATTTTTTTTTCTCATTTCTTTAGTGGTGCACCCATGCTATAACATTTTAGATCCGCCTCTGTGTTTGGACAAGCTTTTTTAGGGAGAAAAAAATATTTTTGGCTAGAAGCTGAAGCAATTTTGAAGAAGCAGAAAAAAATAGCTTCTCCCAAAAAGTAGAAACAGTTTTGTATTTTTTTCATATAAAAAATATCCGTAGTAAAATATACTTTAAGCATAATATTTAGGATATTATACCTTCTCTTCAGCAAGCAAATCACGCCTCTCTCCAGCAATAGCTTAACAACATCTTAGGGTTTCTCCCTTGTTTCAGCAGCAAATCGCTTCAACAAAAAGGAAAATTATTGATCCAACTTGAATTTTTTTCAATCAAACTCTCTTTTTTCTCACGGTATATGTTATTTGGCCCTTTATTCTTGTGCATTATCCCCCCCCCCCCCCCCCCCCCCCCGAAATATATGACTTATTATATTGTATTTTGAATTAAAGAATTGAAATTGAATATCATAAGACCACTCCCTTTAGACTTTTTCTTAATCTATTGTTAATTTGTCTTTTTATTTTTTGTCGAGTTTGAATTTCTCCTTGAGATGTTGAGATATAGAGTTTTTTTTCCCTATGTGATGTGCATATGCATTTATCTGGAGATTTTGTCTGTTATTTTATAAAAGTAGAGCCTTCATGTAGGGGTTGATCAATATTGGAGTTCTTAACATTGAAAAAAATATATATTTTTGTCTTCCTAATCAGAGGTCAACAGTGGAGTATCTAATATTTCGGGGGCAAATTAAATTGTGTCCATGCCAGAAGACTTTATAGTGTGATACCTTGTAAAATTCTGAAATTTAGTCCCAGATAGATCACCTAGAGCAGGAAGACATTTGATTTCGTACTCTGCTTTGTCAAAAGATACCAAGTTGTATTAAAGCCTTTGTTTGAGTGTTTTTTCTTTCTTTTGAAAATTCAATGTGTAAATCTCTTCTAAATATTTTAAAAGAAAAATGATATGAGTATACTTATTACTTAATATAGCAAATGTATGTAAATTCTAAGTCAATGGAAAGTGCTTATTGGGTCACAAAAATGGTGGACATTAGACATGTTGTTTAGAGTACACTAATTAGGTACTCCCTCCATTCAAATCTATCTCATTTGAAGATCAAACACCTAGACAAAAAAAGAACTAATAAGTCCAAAACTTAGCGATAGACAAGCTTTCATGATAAAACAAGCTTCATATGACGGTAATATTATGGACTGGCAAAGCAAAAAGTGAAGAAATAATGATAACAAAGTAATGTTTTAAGCTCTATTTAGTGTAATGTTGGCTCATATAAAGACATCTCTAATAAAGCCATTTCCCTTTCTTATGTGTTGTTGTTGCCCTTGGCTTGGGGAATAGAAAACATTGTCATGATTCCTCCTTTTACTTGTTCGTTAAATGTTTTTCAATGCATATTGACAAGATAATGAGCAAAAAAGTGACACAAGATAACAATAGTGAGAAAGCTAAATGGGATGCAGAAATAACATAATTGTTTTTAAATTTATGTGTGGAAGGAAGATATTACTGCTGGAAATTGTCCCGTACTCATTTTAGTAGAATAGGATAGTCTAACTTGGTGCAAAAATTTAATGACAAGACTGGAAAAAACTATGATAAGACCAAATTGAAGAACAAATAGGATAGTTTGAAACTTATTTGAAAAGATTGGGATACTTTAGCTGAAAAGAATACTGGCTTTTGATGGGATTGCGAGAAAAATACAATTCAAGCGAGTGTCAAATAGTGGAGTAGGAAGATAAAGGTATTAGAATTCTTAAATTGATTTTTGCTTAAACATAATGAGTTATTATTTTGTTTCGAAGACTAATATTTTTCAAATTGCTCTTCCATGAATATAGGAGAATCAAAATGTAGAGAAATTCAGAGATAAAGGTTTACAATATCGAGAGTTGATGGAAATTTATTTTGAAAGATGTTGTTGCCATTGGTGAACATGTTGTTGGGAAGCGTATCGGGCTAATAGGGGAAATATATTTAAATAAAAAAGCAATAAATTGCACAAGACAAGACGAGATTTACGTGGTTCGATAATTTTTGTCTACTCCATGGACACACAAAGAATAACTTTTTATTAATAGAAGAGAAAGAAGAAGTTGAGGATGATTTGCAAATGAAAAGGCAGATACCCCTTTATAGGCATGTGAATGCCCTGCTGAAGTAATCACTTACATCATAAGAAAAGAATTCGAAGATGAATTCTTCTACCTAATATTATGCTTTATACTACTTTTTCTTCTCTCCTTGACTTTTTTTTCTTTCTTTTACATGTGCAGGGTTTTTTCCCCATTAATACCCCCTATAACCCATGTACATAAAAAAAAAATAACGATTCTCTAGTATGACGCCTTCACATTATTAGTCTTGAAGGCCAACTAAGGCAGTTTACAGCTTTAGTTTGTCAATACCGATAACTGGTTTAACATATCTGACGAATTCTTCTATCTTGGTATCTTCTGTAGATAAAGAGTTTCTTTACTTATCAACTCTCGGATATGATGATACCTCAGTTGGATATTCTTTGATCTTGTATGAAACACTCGATTTTTGGCAAGATAAGTTTTACTCTAGCTATGGCTAAAAAGCTCATAATTGTCCTTCTTTTTACCTAGCTCTTTAAAAAAATTCTGGAGCCAAATCATCTCTTTTCCAGCTTTTTAGACTGCCATTTACTTTGCTTTAGTGGTAGATAGAGCAACAATTTTCTGAAGTCTGGACATCCAGCTAACAGCAGTACCACCCAAGGTGAACACGTAGCCTGTGGTATTTTTTCTACTATCCAGATCACCGCCTAAATTTACATCAGCAAAACCTTGTAAGATAATATTGCTCTTTTAAAATAAAATGTCATACCTTAGGTGCCTTTGAGATATCGCAATATCTATTTTATACCTTCTGAGTGCTCTTTTACAGGATCTGACATGTATTTACTAACAACACCAACTGCATGGGCTATGTCAGAACTAGTATAAACCATAACGCACATCAAACTTCCAACTACTGAAGCATAGGGAACTTTGGATAAGATGACTTTCAAGTGGAGTGCTTCTGATATTTGAAGCATGAAAACTGAACTTGCTTAGTACCTTCTGTATGTACTTTTCTTGAGACAACTTTAAGGTTCCTTCAAACATGTTTATGGTAATCCTCATCCAAAGCATTTGCTTAGCTGGTCCTAAGTCTTTCATTTCAATCTCCTCCGCCAGTTGTTGCTTAACCCTATTGATCTCATTTATGCTAGATCCTGCAATTAGCATATCATCAATGTATAATAGTAAAATTAATATAGTATTCATCAAATTTTTTGATATAACAACAATGGTCCATTTCACATTCTGTGAAACTATTGTTATGCATGAATCCATCAAATTTTTTGTACCATTGTCGGGGAGCTTGTTTCAAACCAAACAAATTCTTCTTCAACTTACGCACAAGGTTTTCTTTATTAAAAACTTAAAAACCTCCAGGTTGCTTCATGTAGATGTCTTCTTCAAGGTCACCATGCAAGAAAGTAGTTTTAATATCTAGGTGCTCCAAATGCAAATTTTCTACAACTACAATACATAGAACCAACTTAATAGTATTTCATTTGACTATGAGGGAGAAGATCTCGGTGTAGTCAATTCCTTCCAGCTGCTGAAAGCCTTTTACTACTAATCGTGATTTGTATCTCTTCTTACCATCATGTTCTTTTTTGACCTTGTATACCCACTTGTTCTACAATGCCTTCTTTCCTTTTGGTAACTTTGTAAGTATCCATATTTTATTCTTTTGAAGAGAATTAATCTTTTCTTTCAAGGCTAGCTTCTACTTATTAGAGTTCATCACCTGCATTGCTTCAATAAAATGCTCTGATTCTCCAGCATTAGACAGAAGTAGATAGTGGAGAGAGAGAGAGAGAGTTAATGTATCTGAAGCATTCATGACTATTTTAGATCTCCTTAATGTAGGTTCAAGAGTAACTGATCCCGAATTTGATTCAAGTCCTTGCTTCAGATCTGGTTCTCCATCTGATTCTGTCCTAGTTCTAATTCAGATCTAGATTCAGCTTCTAGTTCTGCATCTTCAATTTCAGAATCAGTTGTAATCCCTCAAGCCACTTCATTTTCTGATATTTCTTTCAACTCAACTGTTTCATATGTCTGTTTGGTGGTGCTGGTTGGTTCTACTCCAAGCTTGTCTTTGTACGTCACATTTTCATTGAATGTGACGTTATGTGTCTTATGGTCTTTCTACTTTGATTACCAAAATTATCATCACCATATCCAATAAAGACAT